AGAATCCTGGACGGATGCCCTCTCTGCAGCTCCCGAAGTAATGGTCACCAGACTTGGAGCCTCCAGACAAGACACACAGTGAGCCTTTTATATAGATAAGAGGGTACTGGGCTATAACCCATAGTAGACAGGCCTATGTGAACATGAAAGACCATCTGTCATGTACAATGTTCAGTGTCATGTTTCACAAGTATGTATGTTCCCTCTGAGGTTTAACAGTGTAGACGTTGTGGTTGTTGGTCCTTGGAAGTAGAGCACTCTGCCTGCAGAATACAGTGAGCTGGGTGTGGCTAGTCCTCTGATTTTATAGCAGCTATGCAATTGGATGCTGTGTAAACTTGAAGGCACCTATGGAATTGTCTGGCATATGTAGCATATAGGTGTAGCTCATGGTGGGGCAACTTACCAGCGCCGCAGGGATGTTCTCTGGCATCATCGGTCCATGTTAGGAATGTGAAGATGATGCTCAATAGAAAAGACTCCACTTTGTGGAGAGCTCAAAGTGATGAGGGTAAATTGGGTGTGGCCGTGCACACCTTTAATCTCAGCACTTGGGAGGCAGGTGGATCTCTGTGAGTTTGAGTTCTACATGGTGAGTTCTAAGCCAGCCAGGGCTACATTAATGGAGCTGTCACTGGATTATAAATGAATTCAAGACCAAATATGAAGAATGCTCTAATTCACTTTCCCCATCTTAGGGCATTGAATAGGTTTGAGCCAGCGCTGCCTTTCACAACCTGCATAAGCATGACCAGGCCCTTTCACTATGTGATCCTTGAAAGAAGACAAGGGGTTGAGCCTCATCTAGAACCCATTCAATGCTATTCTTCCATGAAATATAAAGATATAACATGATACATCAGAATGTTGATGATATGTACACAAAAAAGGCAAGCAGAGGGGCTGGAGAGATAGTCCAGCTATAGACTCTATCTCAAAAAAAGTGTTGGATAGTAGCTATTGCAGATAAACTGGACTAGCTTCCCCAAGACATAGTTTCTGAGAGTGAGACTTATATGCAGGAGGAAGACTGGGGAGTCTTAGTGTCTGCACCCATAAGAGACTGACAACAGAGAGTATAGGCAAAGGGAAGGCTTGAATTGAGATCCCAGCCAGTCCCGGGGAAGCCCTGGAGCTGGGCTGGTCCAGGGCATGGTCTTTCTACTCTATGCTGACCAAGTATTGTGGGTAGCCTATCCCTGAGAAGGGAACATAATCTGAAATGGGGGACTCCTTCAGACATAGTCTAGTATCTGTCCACTCAGAGGGAAGCCTTGAGCTGCATCTGGGAATATGAATGCCTCTTCTTCAAAGCAGAAAGTAGGATTTATATACAGCACCCACCCCAGTATATCGGGTGACTTCCAGAGCGTGGAAATTAGGAACACTGTAGAGGTAACCATGCATCCTGCTTTAGGAATAAAAGCAGCTAAATGCAGACTACTTGGAAACTCCCATCATCTTACTAGTGATCACAACTGATCAAGGAGCCTGCATGGTCTTGCCTAAGTCCAAGTTTTCAGACCTAATACTTAAGTAAGAGCGGAAAGTCATACGAAAGAGCCAAGGAGCTACAAATGAAACTCCAGAGTAAAATATTTCAGCCATTTTACTGGATTCAAAGTTTTTCTATTTTCTGCCACCACCCACTGATTCTCTTTAAAAAGAACAGGTAAACGAGTTAGAGAGAAAACATTTTGCTTGAATGTTTCCTTCACTCTGATTGCATAAATTGAAGAGGAGAGTCTGCCAAGTGTTCAGTGATGCCTTGCACGGTGGCTCTTGGAAAGGACACTCTGTACTAGCAGCTAAGTGAGTGTTTTCCTGAATAACTGACTTGTCATCATTTATAACCTGTTCTCCCCACCCCCACCCACCCCATTTCTGCACCAAGGCCTTCTAAGTGACTTGAGGAGGGGGAAGAAAAGTCTCCACTTTTCTAGAACCATGATAGGATAATTCTGTTGACAGTGGATGCTGAGAATTCATTCTGTCTTCAGTCCTTGAGCAGGCAATGGCTCCAACCCCATACCACAGAGTATCTGTATGTTTAAAACTCTGGTTTTGGAGAAGAAACATCTATTTGTGCTAGAATTCATCTGATGAATGGAATCATATAATCTCCCTGATGGAAACTCTTCGAATTGTAATGAAAATGAATTCCAAGATGCTCTAACTTGCTCCACAGATCTCTCTGTCTACCTCATGTGAGTACATGCTTGATCCCAATCCCGTGTGTCAGCCATGCTGACAACATCCTTGAGGTTATTCAAATATGATCAGCCTTGCCGAATTCACAACCTTTACTGCCTCCCACAATGTTCCTCTCTGGGCACTTCCATGGCTCACATGGCTTCACTTATGAGTTGTGATAATTAGTGTTGTCAACTTGACAGAATCTGGAATCACCCAGGAGACCAACCTCCAGGTACACCTGTGGGGGACCATTTAGTCTCTAGGTATGTCTATGAGGGATTACACTGCTTAGGTTAACCGAGAAGGGGTTCATACTAAAAGGAGGCAGAACCATTCCCTAAGCTTGGGTCCTGGACTGAATAGAAAAGAGAAAGCTAGTTGCACACAGGTATCTGTTACTCTCTGCTTCTTGCTGTTGGTGCAATATGACTGGTTGCCCCCAGCTCCTGCTGCTATGAGTGATGGACTGCAGTCTTGAGCTGTGAACTCACATAAACTCTCCCTTGCTAAGTGTCTTTTGTTGGGGTTTTAACGGAAAGGAAATGAAGGCACGTGACTTCTCTTCTCGGCCTTGCTGCCATGAACCTCCACTCTGAATTTCTGTTCTCACAGTGAGATGTTGGTGTTTTTCACTGTACTCCATGGTCAGAAATGTGTCTGTTTCCTGTGTCATCCTCACACAAGATTCAGTTCTTTGAAATGATGGGGACAGTAAGTCCTTATTCACTACTGAGCAGAAGACATGCAGTATAAGTGTCCCTTGGGTCAATGGTGTCTTTGTACTTACATTCTAGGCTTTCTATTAAATACTAATATTAATACTATTTAATATTCTATTAAATGAGTGTTTGTATATGAGTCACCCTGGGAACACTGTCAGTGTGAAGACCTCCTCAGCCCCCATTTACAACTAGTGGCTCCTTCCTTCTCACTCTTATAATGGTTTTTATCTTCATAGAAGCTAGCTTTCCTGGTATTTCACTTGTTAAATACATTGTATGTGTGGGAATTCAAATCAAGATGTATAATGTATGTAGCCCCCTGGACAGCTCCCCTATGTCCATGCTCCATCAACAGCCCTCTCCAAAAGGCAACCATGGCTATAATTCCTATCAGTATCTTCCTAAAATATCTCTTTGTATGTATATGGTGTGTGTGTGTGTGTGTGTGTGTGTGTGTGTGTGTGAGAGAGAGAGAGAGAGAGAGAGAGAGAGGACAACCTTTGTTGTTAGTTGATTTTCATCTTGCTTTTGAGGCAGAATCTCGCTTGTTGTCACTGCAGTGCATGCTCCAGTCTAGCTGGTCTGGAAACTTCTAGGGGGTTCTCCTACTCCCACCTTCCATCTTGTGTTAACTGGAATTAGAGACATCACCACAGTTTCCAGGTTGTACACAGGTTCTAGGATCCAAATTTAGTTTTTCTGGTGTTCTTGACAAGTTATTTCTTAATTTTTAAATTTTTATTTATTTTTTGGTTTTTCAAAACAGGGTTTCTCTGTGGCTTTGGAGGCTGTCCTGGAACTAGCTCTTGTAGACCAACCAGGCTGGTTTCGAACTTATAGAGATCTGCCTGCCCTTGCCTCCCAAGTGAAACCTGTTGAGTTGTTTTCCTGACTCATTAACATGATTCTCAACTCCCTAACAGGAGCAATATGCTTCTTCTGTCAAGATACATACATAGGCCCAACAGTAGAACTTTGAAATGTATTTATGCTGTTACACACATCGTTTTTTTATTTATGTATTCTACAGTTGAAGGACATTTGAATTGTATCTGGTTAATGGCTCCTGGTCACTGTTCTGGGCATCATTGCATACATTTTTTTAAATTGCTGTGAGCACTTTCCTTTATGTGTTTCAGAGTGGAAGAGCTCCCGACAGACGTATGCACAGGCTATTAGCTACTTCCCAGTGTTCTCAGAGGAGAGCTGTCTTCATTCAGGCCTCCTCTGTAGCCGTATGAGTATTCCCTATTCTCACACACCCCATTTCAACCATTCTGCTGATTAATGCTTGGAATATTTGCCTTTTGGGTTTGTCCTGACTGGAAAATAGTGTTGTGGAGTACCTTTTACTGTTTATGGGTCATTCAGATAGCTAAAGTGTGTATATACATGGGAATCACCCCATGTAGGTTAATCATTAAAGAGAGAGTGTTACCTGCCTTTTAATCTAGATTTCAGGGCAGTGGTTCTCAACTTGTGGATCAGGACCCCCGGCCCCAACACACACACCAAAAGACCATCAGAACAATACCTACATTATGATTCATAACAACAGTGAAATTACAGTTATGGAATAGCAATGAAAATAATTTTATGGTTGGGGTCATCACAACATGAGGAACTGTATTAAAGGGTCATGACATTGGGAAGGTTGAGAACCAGTTCTAGAGCTTGACTTTGAGTTATTTAACTAATCCATGTGTATCACCTATGTTCTCCCAATATGGAATTTTCCTTTTGCTTTTCCTTGTACTTGTGTTACTTGGGGGTAGATGCTCTGACTTAAATGACACCTAGTAAGTCAACCTTTTAGATTCTGCTGTTTAAGAAGGCTTTATTTCTAGTGTTTTAAAGATCACAGCCGAGAGATGTTAAGAGCTCTTAGCCAGGTCTGGCTCAACTAACTCCTCTTTCAAGAAATGGCAGTTACCCAACGTCCCTCCCAGTTCATCCAGGGAGAATGCCACTGCATTAGTTACACACATTGGTGGTCCCTTAGAAAAGCTATAAGCTAGGTGGCACCCCCCCACACACACCTCAGGAATAGGCAGACGAACTAGAAATGACATCACACAGATATTCATTCACCAGATATATTTGAACTCTAAGCTCTTTGAGCTGTACACGTGCACAAATGATTCAGTTGGTGGAAACCTTCCCCTCCACTTAAAATGTTTTCAACTTAAAAGAGAGCTAAGGAGGTTTGCATAATGTGCGTCATGGAAGTGTTGAGTGATCCATCATGACTTTCACAGTGCTGGGAGGTCCCCCAGCTTTCCCATTTCTCCTGGGGAAAGCGCCCCCTCCCCTTTCCCCATGCTCAACCCAGCAGGAGAATCCCTTGATCTGTATAGCAGGTTAACATCTATACATGGCAATACAGTTTACTAAGACCTGGGTCATCTATAACAACTTTTACTAAACTGGAAACTTCTGCTACCACTATTTGGAAACACAAATTATTTCCAAAGCTTTCACTCATTTAGATTCCCCCACCCCAGATCTTGCATCCTGAAAATTAACGTGAATTAGAAAGCCCCAAGCATTTAGTTGACTTATAATCAATCCATCCGCACAGCTGAGTTCAATGTTTCCGCCACTAGAGGGCACCATCTCTCAACTATTTGTAGTCTTTCCTTGGTCAATGAAAAACCCAAACCCCTCCACAACAAAGGAAAGTCAGAGCATTTGCTTATTGTACACCCCTCAGGTCTGATTTTTTGAAGAGGAGACTTATTTTCCTCATGGAAACTCGGGATTCCACAAGCAACACTGTCCTCGGTTTCAAACGTACTGTGGCCAGTACTATATTGCTAGATTCACAGTAGAACGGACTTTAATTTTCTGAGAGATCAGTCTAGGTTTGAAGTTTCTGTTGAAACTAACATACACCTTAGTCAAAAAAAACCACAATAATCCCTCCATCGGGTGGCTGTGTTAGTGATCTTGTGTGTTTTTCTGAGGCTTAAGTCGTGAAAAGACTAGCCCATTCTGCGGTAAATTGTATTTGCATCCAAAATGACTTGCTAATGAACAGGAATTGATGAGGCTTGACACATGGAGCGGAAAGTATGGTTCTGCAGGTGTATCTTCCTTAATGCACTTTGGGCTAGAGAAATACAAAAGTCACACGTAACGAAAACAAAGAACTTTTGAGCACACGGGCACTGGATGAGTGGACCTGCCATCCGTTTACCCATCATCCTTTTTGTGCTCTGAGATGCTCAGCTGTTTCTATGTTCTGGGGTTTAGTTAGCATCATCCAAGTTGTTTATAACTGACACTCGGATCTTTGTTTAAAAACAGGTGGTCTTGACAGCAAGGAGGTTGCTAGTCGGTTATATGTTGACATGAGACATTGCTGTACTCTTTCTCAACTCAGCATTAACCACAAGAGCACGTGATAGCGTCGGATTACCTACGTTAGAATCAGAACGCCTTCAGAAGCAACACAGGTATGATGTCGTTAAGCAGCTAATGGCTGAACAATCACTAAATAAAAAACATCCAGATTTTCAACGCACAGCTCAAACATCTGTACAAATATATAAAGGGGTGGGTGGGTGGGACAATCGTTCAGACACCACGAGACTTTTATAATAAATAGATTTGTCTGAAATCGGTCTCTGCCGCCTGGACAAGCCTCCCCAGTGACATCATGTGGTAGCGGTGTTCAGAATCTACTGAGGGGTATTTTGGGGGCCAAGCTCAATTTTGCCTCCAGGAATTTGGACAGAGCTATCTGATGTATTGACCCAAACTGAAAATGATTCCCAGACTTATTGAGCTGGATGGTGGGGACACCCCTTGTCTATACAGGACACGGCTGGGATACCGTGAGGTGGGGCGTACCCTCAAATCATCAAAATAAATGCTGGTGATCGTGCAATGTCCTGGGAATGTCGGGATGCAGAGGACTGGGTGAGACCAGTTAGGGGGATCCCATGCAGTCAAAATCAAGTTTACTTATGGTCCTATATAAGTGGCCAGGAAAAAAACACAACACCACACACACATACACACACACACACACACACACACACACACACACAACTGGAGCATCACACAAACAACATAAATGTCATTTGCTACTGATGTCAATGACGTGGATCAACAGGAGAGAACAGAGATATAGCCTGTCCTGATTGTTTAATAAGAAAATACTACCTTTCTTCCTCTAGAACTTTCTAAATAATGGATTATAGTTAATGGGTATGAGTTGACTGGGAGACATGTCACCTTTTCCTAGCCCTTTTGTCCAAGAGGCTTAATTACAAGGAAGGGATAGCAAACAACCAAACACCCAGGGACTTAAAGGCAATTAATGTTTTGGACAAACCACAATGGGGGAAGCATAATAAGAGGAGATGCATATTATCACGGCCGCGCTCAGTTGGACATGGAGGGTGGCAGGCCGGGACGCCGGGTCTGGATGATTTTTGGCTTTGGGGACATCTTTGGATCCTCTTCTTCCTCCATGTCGCTGTCGCACACATGCACGACGACACTTGGCGTGGACTCAGTCCCCGCATGCAGCTCGTACTTCTCTCCTGAAAAGCAAGACATCAGGTAAGGAAGAGGGAAGGATTCTTTTTGGTTAGTTACTGGGTTTTGTTGTGTTTTAGTTTTGCTGTTGTTTTCCTTTGTTTGGTGTGTTTTGCTGTTGTTCTGGAGACAGGGTCTCTCCATATAGCTCTAGCTGTCCTGGAACTCACTCTGTAGACGAGGCTGGCCTCCAGTTCACAGAGATCAGCCTGCCTTTGCCTCCTAAGTGCTGGGATTAAAGACATGCACCACCATACCTAGCTAAGAGGAGGATTCTTAACAGCTGTCTTGGCAAGGTTTATAAAGGAAGAGGGACAAACATTTTTTAGGGGTGTTGGAAAACCTGTGATCTGGCATCAGATGGAATGCGGCCCATTGGCCATTGTGTCCTGGCTACCATCTATCAAATATCCAACTGTGTCTGTCCACTATCAACTATCCAACTCCAAATAAGTCACTTAACCTTTCTCAGACACAGCAAGCTGAGCAAGCTGGACTGTATATTTCTCAATGTTACTCCCATTCTGATGGAATGTGAAGACTAAATGTGTCTGGAAATACAGCACTTTGGCTCTTCAGTGCTCTGAAAAGGCTTGACTTGGAGTGCTGTTGGTGATGGCATGAGTTGACGTCTCATAGGAGGATTTGATGGGACCCCTGGCCTCTCCTGCCTCCTTATTGCTTGCTGACCTCCATGAGGTGAGTCAGTCTTCTCCATCACGACTCCCTACTTAGGAACTGTGTTCCACAGGACCAAGTGTGGACCAGATGCTCTGAAACCGTATGCCAAAGTCAACTTCATTGACTGATTAGTTCAGGTGCTCTGTTACAGTGATGGGAAGTTGAGTAACACAGCCAGTTAGTCACACCTGTTACTGTTTGATCCCCGGTCATGCTGCTAATAGCTGAGGAAGCTTGAGTCAAACGCTTAGTGAATAAGCCAGTCTTTAAATTCTCCTCCGGGCATATAATACTCACAACCACAACTGCCCCGAGATATAATAAGAATGGACACTGTTTGCCTGGGATCTTCAGTGTTTAGTAGTAAATAAATGACAGATCACCATGAAGGCCCTAATTCAAGAGTCTCATTCTGTGTGTGTGTGGGTTGGAGGTACATGGGAATACGGTTGTACACGTGTGCACGAACACGTGAAGCCATAGGAGAGCCTTAAGTGTTGTTGTTTCTTTTGTTGTCATTGCTGGGGCTGTGTTGAAACGGGATCTCTCCCTGGCATGGGGCTCACTGTGCAGTCTCCCTTGATTGGCCAGCAAGCCCTAGCCTCTGTAGTACCTTGTTTGTAAATGGCCAGCCTGTTGGATGTGGGTTCTGAGGGTTGAACTTGGGTTCTCGTGCTTACTGAGTGTTTGTAGTTACCTTAGTGACTGAGCCATCTTTCACTCCCCACCTCCGCTTTTACAATTAGTTCGCTCCCAGGAATCTGTCTATCTTTGCTTCATCACCATAGGTATTTCCTGAGCATCCCTCAGGGTCTTGCCCATTCTGGCTACTGAGTGCTGTTAAAAAATATCTGTGCCTTAACAGTATAATCCAGTAGAAGAAGCAACAAGACCTCCGTGTACATGAGCTAGGGAAGGTGGGTCTGTGCTTGCAACTTCACAACTGTTAATATCCCCAAGTCCCCCTCACCTTTCACTTTCTACCTTTGATGACTCAGCAGAGAAAGGCTTCTGAAAATAGTACCTTTTAGCATCTTGGTCACTGGCTCCCCAAGTCTCACTAGATCAAGTCCAGATGTCCTTGAATTGGTCCAGAGGATGCTACGTCATCATGCACCAGCCTTTCCCTGTGAGTTCATCCGTTTTGCTTTGCCAGGGTGACTTACCCGATACCTCCCAATCGGGGTCACAATCTTTCACCTGCCATAGCTGCAGAGTGACTTTCCCCCCTACTTCCTAATCATGGCGGCCACTTTCTTCCACCAGACCCCCCCATGACAGGTGTCAGTCATTTGTGCCACTGTGCACATACTGGTAAGCAACAATAGTGGAACAGAAAGCTTTCAAGGCACAGACTTCAAGTTTGGATGATGACCCTGATGCTGACACTGGTGCTGAGTATCCCTGATGATGTAGCAGGTATGTATCAAAGCTCTCCAAATGATGCTGGGGAGGAAGGCCATAGCGCTCAGTCACTGTTATTTGTTGACCTGTCTAAAAGGTATGGAACTGCTAACCTCTAGTTCCTGTGGTTGTGACCAGATTTAAGTAGGATCTTTACAGATGATCATGCTAAAATGAGGCCAGTATGTCCTTAGTCTTATAAAAAAGGACAAGGCACACAGAAACTCACACAGAGAATGCCATGCGGAGAATGGGTCTATGCTGCCCAAAGGCAAGGAATGACCTGAAGTTAGGAAAGAGCCAAGAGCAGGTCTTTCTCTAGCCCCTCCAGAGATAATGTGATCCTGCGCACACCTTGATCTTGGAGTCTCAGGAAATGTACATCAAGTCTAGTTATAAGGGCTATTCCTTTTGTCGTGTTCTACAGCCTACAAAGCAAATGGAGCCACACTCTGCTTTTTATTGAGTCAGAAACGTTTTATTCTTTTTTAAGTTGCATGTATGTATTTGTATGCACATGTACGTTCCTGTGGGAGCAGGTGTGAAGGTTAGAGGACAACCTTGGGCATTAGTCCTTGCCTAGTCTTTATCTGAGAGAGGGTCCCTTTGCCACAAGATACACCAGGCTAGCTGGGCCATACCTGTTTGTGATTCTGAGGGGGGCCGTCCGTCTGTATACATGTTTCTCTTATTGGTTGATGAATAAAACTCTGCTGGCCATTAAGGCAGAAGATAGGCGGGACTAGGAGATGAGAAGGATTCTGGGAAACATAGGCAAACAGAGCTTCCATGTAAGAACCAGAAAGAAAGGATGCACCAGGCATCCTCCGGTAAGATAAGACCATGGGGAAATACATAGATTAATAAAAATGGGTTGATATTTAAGACAGAGCTAGCCAGTAAGAAGCCCTAGCTACTGGTCAACAGTTATATAACTAATACAGCGTCTGTGTGCTTATTTGGGGCTGAGGAGGGCGACTGGAGAAGAGATTCTCCAGCAACCTGATTCCCTGTTGTTAACTTCCGTCTTGGCACAGGAACACTGGGGCTATGGATACACACTCATGCCTCTGGCTTTCTGTGGGCTCTAGGAATCCAAACTCAGGTCCCCACATTTGCGTGGACACTGACCTGTCTTCTCAGTCTAAGAGGCAGGGAACACTTAACCAGACACGCTCCATCAGCATTGTACCGTGTCAGCAGGCAGGCACTTTTCCTGAGCCGCGACAATAAATGGTCCAGGAAAACAGAATTATGGCTCTGAGTGCTGTGGAAGCAAAAGAGATAAACGCAGGCAGAGTTGTCGTTCTCTGCAGTGCATGAGGACTCGGAGTCAGATGTGTTGAAATTACAGGTGGGTGGGGCTGCGTCAAGTATTGTGTCCCCATTCACTTTAGCTGATGTGGATAAGTCAGCATGGTGCCCCTGTTTGGCATCCCTGCCATGTAGTGAGCTGGAGCAGAGTGCATGCATTAACCCAGCATGGGATTGACCCCCTTTGGAATCACTGTAGGCATGTTATTGTGGTCTCTCTAACGTTGCGTGAAATGAATTGAATTGAGTGGGATTTATCACCCTGATAGTATTTTGTCTCAGTGTAAACAAACAAACAAACAAAAATGAAAGCACTAAGGTAGAAGAGGTTGTTTGGGAACTGCTAATGGTGTGGGGTGTGGGGGAGTGGGGGGACTACTCGAAACCAGCTTTATCTGAGGGATACAGGAGATGCTTCAGGACACATTGGCAGCATCTTTGAGTACTTCTTCTTATATAACAAACATGCACCAGCAAGGTGCAGCAACTCTGCTGGCTCTGGTGGAGGTGTGTGTGTGTGTGTGTGTGTGTGTGTGCGCGTGTGTGCGTGTGTGCGTGTGTGCGTGTGTGTGCGTGTCTCATGTGCCTCTTGGTATTCTTCAAGGGAGACAGAGGGAAGTGATCCCTGAGCCCTCCAATGAGATGGCAGGCCTTTTAGCAGAAAGGATTTCCTTTGGATTGCCACACTGCAAAAAGCCCATGTTGAGGAACCCCAAGGACCACTGTGGTCCTGTGTGCTGCTCCGTTTGCTATGAGCCGAGATGGGGCATGCACGTGCGGGCATGCGCACCTGGGTGAGACCACAGACGGGATCTGCTGTAACAGTGGGCATGTGAGGGCTGTGAAACCCAAGGCTGATGTGGAGGGCAGCGCTGATGCAGGCCAGAATGAACACAGTCCCTTTCCTCATCTTTTGGCAAGAAAGCCATTCGTATTGGAAACAAGATGCCATTCTGTAACCCAGGCTGGCCTGGAACTCACTATGTAACCCAGGCTGGCCTTGAACTTGTGACCCTTCTGCCCTAGTCTCTGAAGTTCTGGTGTTTCTATCATACTCTACCACAACTGGACATCCTTTTCTTTTTTTCATTTCCTCTCTCTTCCCTTTTCCTTCCTCTCTTCCCCTCTCCTTCCTTCTCTCTCTCATTCCTTCTTTCCTCCCAATCTTCCTCCCCCTCCCTTTGCCTTTTCTCTCTTTTCATGTCCTTCCCCTACTCCCTCTCCTCTTCTTTCTTTTCTCCCCTCCTCCTCTTTCTCTCCCCCCCCTCCTCAATTGCAGCGGAACACACCGAGCAAAGCTAGCTTCTATTACGTCTTCTCTTTGCTGTGGCTACCATGATGACCGCTCCTTCCAGGCACGCCTCCTTGGGCCATGTTCACGTGAAGGAAGCGGGGCCCAGGATGGGACCGCAGCTGTGGGGTCCACTCTGGCAAAGCCTCTGCGTGTGGGGTACAGCGCATCTTCATCAGATCAGACTGCATGGGGTAAGGGATGCTTCCTGGCTGTGGTCCTGCTAAGGCTGACATCTCATTGTGCTATTTTGGGAAACTCTGTTACTATCAGAATACTGCAAAGCCCAACATCTGCTGAGTGCCTACAAAATAA